CGAAACAATTTCGCATAACACTCCTACTATAACATATATTTTTTAAAATATTTTTTGTAAATTTTTTATTCTGCGACATACAAACGTCGTATATTAGTCCCCCAGTTGGTAAATATTTAAATAATTAATTTTATAAAATTTAATTTTTGCACAAAGTTTTGTTCTGTGACTAAATTACTATTAGACGAATGAACCTGCGATTATTACTCGAAACAATTCTGCATAAAAACCGCGCATAACACTCGTACTATAACGATAGCATATATTTTTTTAAGTTTGTTTTTGTAAATTTTCTATCTGCGACATACAAACGTCGCATATTAGTCCCTTAGTTGGTAAATAATTAATTTTATAAAATTTAATTTTTGGAAAGTTCTTGGTTTGTGACTAAATTACTAATAAATTGAAGACTACTGTTAGGCGAATCAACATGCGATTATAACTCGAAACAATTCCGCATAAAAACCGCGCATAACACTCGTACTATAACGAATAACATATATTTTTTTAAGTTTGTTTTTGTAAAGTTTTCTATTCTGCGACATGCAAAATTGCGACATACAAACGTCGCATATTAGTCTCCCAGTTGGTAAAAAATAATTAATTTTATAAAATTTAATTTTTGGAAAGTTTTTGGTCTGTGACTAAATTACTAATAGGCGAATGAACCTACGATTATTACTCGAAAATAATTCCGCATAAAAATCGCGCATACAAACGTCGCATATTAGTCTCCCAGTTGGTAAATAATTAATTTTATAAAATTTAATTTTTGGAAAGTTTTTGGTCTGTGACTAAATTACTAATAGGCGAATGAACCTGCGATTATTACTCGAAAATAATTCTGCATAAAAATCGCGCATAACACTCGTACTATAACGAAAAACATATATTTTTTAAGTTTGTTTTTGTAAATTTTCTGTTCTGCGACATGCGAAATTGCGACATACAAACGTCGCATATTAGTCCTCCAGTTAGTAAATAATTAATTTTATAAAATTTAATGTTTAGAAAGTTTTTGGTCTGTGACTAAATTACTCATAGACGAATGAACCTGCGATTATTACTCGAAACTATTCCGCATAAAAACTGCGCATAACACTCGTACTATAACGAATAAGTTATTAACATATATTTTTTTAAGTTTGTTTTTGTAAATTTTCTATTCTGCGACATGCGAAATTGTGACATACAAACGTGGCATATTAGTCCGCCAGTTGGTAATAATTAATCTTATAAAATTTAATTTTTGGAAAGTTTTTGGTCTGTGACTAAATTACTAATAGGCGAATGAACCTGCGGTTATTACTCGAAACAATTCCGCATAAAAACCGCGCATAACACTCGTACTATAACGAATAACATATAGTATTTTTCTTAAGTTTGTTTTTGTAAATTTTCTATTCTACGATGTACAAAATTGCGATATACAAACGTCGCATATTATTCACAGAGTTGATAAATAGTAATTTTTTGGAAAATTCTTGTTCTTTGACTAAATTGAAAATAACTATTAGGTGAAAAAAAGCAGTCAACCAATGCGGTGCGTAACACTTGGAAATGTGTTCGCATATTGATACATCATGCGAGGTTTATATGGATATACGATTCGTAAATATGCAAAAACAATACGCATAATCGATAGTTATCTAGCCTTATAGATTTGAATATGCATATCGTAAATTATGTTAGTTACTCATAAATAATGCAGCGTTTGATTTGGATATGCGATAATCTAATTACGCGACAGTTTTTTACATATCCTAAATGATGCGGTTGATCTGGCCTGGATATGCGATTACAAAATATAATATAAATTACTTTTACGTATTTTTTCATTACGTTATGCGAACACAATGCGATTTATCGCACTTTGTTCACAGTTCTGCGAAATTTCTTTCAATATTAATTTCCGTTCGAATATTGTCGCTGATTTTGCTGGGAACACAATACGATTTTATCGCACTTTGTTTTGTTTTGACATATGAATCATGATTAAACACATATACTTCACAGAAGAAAAAAAAATATTTATTATTGCTGCAGTCAGTCCAACAAAATAAGCCAAACAACTTTTGATTACATGTCCAGTGGATTCTAAGGGTCGAGATCGAAGACTTCCACCTTTGGTGGTGGCTGATGGATCTGACCATCACCGTCATCGTCTATGTCTTCCCCCCAGATTGGGTCGTCAACCGAAGCACCAGGCCCGCCCTCCAACTCGATAGCCGCTGTGTTGCGCTCGGTAAAAACCTCGTAACACTCACGATACCAAGGGAATCCTTCCGAACGGAAAAATGCCTGAGCGTCGGTCTCCTGTGTAATAAATTTGAATCTTTTTAGGTTATTATGGCCGCGTCACAAAAATGCATGCTTGAACAAACTAAAATAAAAAATCAAATGAAATTTACCTCATCCCGCACATGCGCCCAGTACATGTGGTTAACCTCTACAAAGTCTGAACCAGGACGCAAGAGGACGCCTGGAATCCTTAGGAAAGCAGAAAATTCATCGAAATAATTTCTGAGCCACTGAATCTTTCGCCGGACTTGGGAAATAGTATACTCCCTCTTCAATGCATAACTCAGCGTTTGGTTCAGTAAACTTGAAATTTCTGCCCACAAGGAATTGAACACAGGGCCTTGGTGTATGTCTGCCTTCTGACGGCACTTTTTGAAAAAAAATCGGTAGCAAATATATTCCTCATCCTCTATCCAGTCCACGCCACGGAAGCGGATCGCAATCTTTTCATAGGGTGAAATCTTTTCCATTTGTTTTTTCACAAACGTGCGCCTCCTTGGTATTTTTTTTTTTCTTTTTTTTTTTTGCTGCGATCGAAAGTTAAGATTTTGAGAAGTGAAAGGTTAATTATTCAACAAAGAGAATGAAATGTTAATATTTACAGATAGCATTTAAAGCTAAGTAGATATACATCCCCTCGAAAACTAAATGAAGAAGCATGCAAATCGTCACAGTTTTTTACGTGTAAGAGCAGACAATCAATCAATGCGGTGCGTAACTTATGCGAATAATATGCGAAGAACTTTCGATTTGGATATGCGGTGCAGATAATCAATCAATGAGGCAATGCGGTCCATATGGATATGCGAAAAAATGGCGGATAGTCGCAAATTATGCGGCTTTCGATTTGGATATACGATTCGTTAATTATGCGGTTGAAGACATGGCGATGAACCTGCGAATCAACCCAGTTGTGCGATTATTATGGGACATGATATGGGTATCGCATAATCAACCAATTGTGCGATTATTATGGGACCTGTTATGCGGATCGCGCAATCAACCCAGTTTCACTACTTTCTGTTAGTCAATCGTGTGTGTGCAGGTCACAACTTAGGGTACCAACACAGTATTTTTCCAATTAAAAGTAATTTTTCCGTTAAATTGCTTTACAAATTGAAAACTCCAATGAGGTACATAGCATAACATAACGTCTCCATCTTCATCTAAATTGTCATGGAACATCTCCTCGGGCGTCTCGATGTTGTTCTTGGATGAGGAGTTGGTGCGTTTTGACCTTCTTCATTTGAAAAAAAGTCATTAACACCATCGTATAGAGGGCACTTCGCCATGTTATGCCCGGTGACCCCACATCGAGAGCACATCTGCTGACGTCGTACTCGACGTGATGATCCTTCATCAGTACCCCGAGGATATCCAGTATGTGTAAATGAACTAGGGCCTACTTGATATAATTATATGGGGCCTCGTGTGAAAATGCAGAACTATCAACACCAAAAGAACTAGGAAATACACCTTGGGACGCCATCATTTGCGTGAAGCTTTGTTGCGCCGTCCCCGGAATCCCTACATTTACTCGCTTCTCCAACTTCAGGTAAATGTTGGGATTTCCTTGTTCTTCAATCAGCTCTAAGATATCGTCACTGGATTCGATTTTTATCTTCACAGCTCGTTCCCTTCCATCAAATACTGCCCACAATATGTACTCAAAATTACAAGGATTGGCCTTTAATAATGCTTGAGCACGAGAAACTACTTCAGAATACATTAGTCGGCCGTAATTTATTCTCATCAGCTCTGCCACTCCACCAAGATATGAACCCCCGGAAAATGAACCACCATAGTGCAGGAATACTTTAACACGGTTGCTAGCCATTCAAATAAGTGAACAACAAAAACAATTAAAATGAAAGAAACAGAAAAATGCAATAGATGAATGGTGCAGAGTGCAGACGTTAAATTGTTAGAGATCACAGTTTTTTTGCCTACAATATAAATGCAGAGACAAAATCCTCACATGTGACAAAAGCAGTCAATTTAATGAGGTGCGTAACTTATGCGACAGATATGCGAAAAAATTTCGAATAGTCGTAGAATTGCAAGGTCGATATGGCCCTGCGAAAAAATGGTGCATAATCGTCAAGTAACTTATGCTTTATTCGATTGGTTATGCAATTCTTAAATATGAGATCGAAAAAATGTCGCATAATTGTCAATTATCCGATGTTATACTGGATATATGCGAAATTTTTTCGCATATTAATAAATTATGCAATTGACTTGGATATGCAAATACTAAAAACTGCAAAGTCAACAAATTATGCAAATTATATGCGAAATATTTCGCATAGTCATAAATTTGCAAGGTCGATATAGCCCTGCGAAAAGAAGGCACATAATCATTGTAAATTATGCTGCATTCGATTTGGATATGCGATTCTTAAAAATGCGAAAGATGTTCGCATATTTGTAAATTATGCGTTTGATTTGGATATGTGATCCCTAAATATGCGAAATGTTTTCACATAGTCATAAATTATGCGTCGGTTGGATATACGTTGGTTCATCTGAACATGCGAGTGTAATATCGCATAGCATTTTGTGAATTTTGAGGCGTAAAAGAAGTTATTTGACGGCGGATGTGTAAAAAAAAGAATAAATGTATAAGGTGGTGAAAAAGATTTTGACCCATTATTTTTTCTGACGGTTCTTTTCGCTATCAAATTGTCCTTTTCTACGGTCATCAAACGACAAACTCCTTCTCTGCTCATCAAACGACAGATTCAATTCACATCCGCCCCCAACACTTGAAAAGCTTCTCGCCGTAATTCTTTTCAGATTTTTTCTCCTTTGGTCGGCGACGGTCGCCCCAGTCAAACCAGAGCCACAAATCTGGATGCAACAGTCGAATCGGATCGGTGGTCGATAACGAGGGCCGACGCAGCAGCACCACAATCGGCGAACGTCAAACCAGAGCCGCCGCATTTGCCCCTCGCTGGCCCCAACTACGGTCTGTGTTAACCATCCGATTGGAATTTTTTCTCAAAATTTGTTCTATGTTTTGCAGTTTATTGTGGATGAATTTGCAAGAGAGTTTCATATTTGCATAGCTTAAATGTTCCCGAACTCTATTTTCGGCCATGTGATTGTGATGAGAATGGATTGGAATTGATGTTTTTCTAATTTGTATGTTATTGGCACAGCATAGCAGATTAACAAATTGATTAGAACAATTGGAATTTATGCAAGCTTTTGTGGGAATCGCAGTTTTGAAATTATTTTGTCTATCCTCTTTTAAAAACTGTTGGCAGTTATCACCATTTTAAAAATTATTTTCCTTCCTATGTTCCTATTAATTAACTCCTATTAATTCAGCACTGAAATTCAGCACTGGCGCGTAGCTTCTTTCCATGTAATAGAAAGTTTGAAACTTCTGAATCTCCGATTCAATCTTCTCTACATCTACGAAAGAAGAAAAAAATCCAAAAGTTCTTCTTTGTTTTGTAGTGATAATTTTGTAATGATAATACCAAAAAATAAAGCTGGCTCAATCGTCGGTATGTTGATCCTTACGGGCCTCTTGAATCCTCTCTTTACCTATTTTTCTTTAATTTGTTTTTATCTCTAATGTGGCTTTTTTCCTTTCGTTATTATTGAATTGATAGGAATTCTCTTGTTAAAACCCTATGAATCGATTAAAACCTCAGATTCATACTAGAACCACGATGATTCAATAAAAAATCATAAGCTAAGCCACAGATTCCCTGAGTAAGAACCACTGGCGGCCGGCGCGCAGCTTCACCGCTTCAATCCACGGCCACAGCTTCACAGATTCAGTCTCCGGAGGCCCAGATTATTTTCAACCGTCCGCTTCAGGTATTGATGGCTAAATCTTTGGCTTTTTGAATTTTTTGTTGTTTCATGTCTCTGAACCATGTCTGCACACACAAATGCACACTGGCCATGGGCTGTGATATGTAAAATGTGAATTTTAGGATTTTTTTGTATAATTGTTCCATGTTTTCATATATTTTTTTTCTCAATTTCCATAATTTTTGTTCTCAGGTCTTTTTCTATTGTAGATTTCTTCCCAATTTTGATATGCCTACACGTGCCCCTTTCTTTGTGCAATCGCAATTTCTGTTCATGACCTACTAGATATATACATCGGAATAACCTTGATATCTTTGAAAGGCCTTGAAATTAACCCAGACGTAAATACTTCTTCTCAGCCTCGGTCTGCAGCGGCGGACCAAACCTCAGCGCCAAGGACGGCCGTGGAAACTACAGGCCTAAAATCCTTTAATCAAGGTTGGTAAAATATCTTTGTCCAGAAGATATTGGTATTTCTCGCAGTTGAATATTTGACTTATTTGTTACCTTCTTGTGTATCTCCGTGTATGCTCTATATTACATCTCAATATGTGGGATCTACTTGGAATATGTTTTTGTGAATGAATGACTGTATATAGTTGCTCGAATATAATCCTAATTATGGATGGTATTACATGAGTTAATTTCGAAGAATTGGTTACGAATATAAAGGTGAGTTTAAGACATACAGTCATTGGTGTATCATGAGTTTTGTGAGGTAGTCTTGTTGAACTGGAGGTTATAAAAACAGAAAATAACTACTTCTGCACACAACGCTGCTTCTTTATCTCTAATTCTCTATGTTTTTTGCCCCTCTGGTCATTTGTTTTGGCTGTCTCATCTTTAAACAACTCGTAGTCCTATATAATGGCCTTCTGTAGACGCATGAATGACCCAGCTATCGATTTCATAGTGAAAGTTGATCTTAAGTTGTGCTCAGTAACACGACTGTGCACTGCCTTGATGCTTAGTAGCATCAGCAGTTTTCTGCCTTTTCTCCTGTATGCTAGTCTATGTTTTGAGTCGGCACGAGTTTTCGTCTTAGATTTTAATGGGTTTAACAACAACTTTCATGCATATTCTTCGGAGAAAGTTATGCACGGAATTTCTTTGTGTAGTCCTCACGTGTTCCCCAGTTGGATAGGAGCATCTATTTTTAGTTGGACTTGTATACTATGCTGGACTAGGATTTTCAATCTTGTTTATTTTTCATTATCAGATAGCTGGATTTTGACTATGTAAGTTGTACTCTTTGATTTTTTAGTTTTTATTTTTATTTTTTCCTTCTGTTTGGATTGTAGAAATATAATTTGGAGTTTTATGAACTTTTAGTCTCTAGTGATTTGGACTTCTGAATTTTGATCTTCCACAAGTATAGAACTCAATGTCCGATCATATAAGCTCTTCAAGCAGAGTTAAGATGAACATAAACTAAAATTCTATAAGCTTACAAACTCTTCAGCATGTATAGAAGTGTAATTTTATTACCTTTTTATATGTTTTCTTTTCCAAAACTTAAGTGCTGCGCATGGTGATCATTCTAACACATTCCTTTGTCTTTTTTTATGTTTGGCAGGTCTAAAAGTATTTCTACCCCATACTTCATAATCCTCAGACATCATAGCCCGGACCTCCTAAAAGATGGATTTTACACGCGAGTGGAAATCTCTCTGGCCCGTATCCTCCACTTTCTCCCCACCAGTCCTTATCCCGAACAAATCACATGAAACACCCACTGGCCCACTAATATTCACCCCTAGGCCGAGTTCCTCCACTATGATCCTCCACTCTCCCTACCTTTCCCCACGCCTTCCCCCGCCATATCCGTCCCTCTCCCTTTCCCGTTTTGTCCGAATTTACAATTCTGTCCCTCTCACCTCCTCCTCTGTACCCTATCTACTCGGTGCCGAACTTCTCGATTACTCGTCGTCCTTCCACGGCTTCAACTCTCTCCAGTTGCTTCGGATTCCGAACCGAAATCTGATTGTCGCATTCTTTCTAGCCGGGGAAAATTCCGATACAGTGGGTTTCTCATTGCTTCATGTGAAAGACGGGATTCTAGGCGTTCGTTCACAAACGGAGGACCTTTTCCATGTGGCGAAAGGGGGTAATTTGAGTCGTCATCGGATAACCCTTTTTCTGGTTAATCCCGTGGATGAGTTCTGTTGTGGTGGAACACTTGGAGATGTGGGTAATAATAAACCCAAGACTGTCACGGTTGGCTTTCTGATGGTTTGCACGCATTTTTCTGTTTTTTGGTACGGAATTGGGATGAGTTTGGTATGTGGACAAGATGAGTATCCCGTTCGTGTGGATTATCTAGGGTGTGCTGATGCTAAGAACCTCTTGGGCAATATGGTGGTCAGTGCATGTTGGAACCCCCATCTGAAGGAAGAATGCTTGGTTTTGTTGGAGAATGGTGATTTGCTGTTGTTTGATGTTAATTCTTCATTTAGGGATAACGTCGAGGCGAGATTTTCGCTCAGTGGAAATAATAGGGCTATTAACAAAAGGATGCACATCTCATTGACGGATAAGCTGGGATTGGAGAAAGAGGAAGGTCGTAAGGAAGGCCGAGAATGGTTGAAGTGTGAGTTCAGTTGGCATCCTAGGATACTCATTGCTGCTAACCGCACTGAAGTTTTCTTGGTCGATTTAAGGTCCTTAGAGGACTGTGGTGTCCGTTTTTTGCTAAAGCTTGACATGTTGTCTGAGGAACAAAATGATGGATTTTTCGCTCTGTCGAGGGCGGGCTTGGATGGGTTCTCCTTTACCGTGGCCACAAAACATTTGTTACTTCTTTGTGACGTGCGGAGGCCATTGATGCCCGTGTTGAGGTGGGCCCACTGCATTTCGAATCCACGATATGTGGAGGTATTCAGATTGTCTGATCTGAGAGCAAATGCAGAAAGTACAGAGTACGATTTGGCTTCAAAATTGGGGTACTGTATCATGCTGGGGTCTTTTTGGGACAACGAGTTTAGCCTTTTCTGTTATGGCCCCGAGTGCAATGGAAACGAGTCTTTATCTTCTAAAATTTCAAAGATGTGCTATTCGTACAATGCATGGGGACTCCCGTCAGAGCTTTCGTTGTCAGATTGCGATTGCAAATGCGGTAGTTGTTTAGTCAAGGAGGAATTCGCAGAAATGTCCCGTCCAGTTTGGGTTGACTGGAGGCAGAAAAAACACTTGGCTTTGGGATTTTGCATTCTCGAGGCGGATATTTCTGCTCAGCTGTTCTCTGTAGATAGCTTTGGCGGTTTCGTGCTAATTAGACTAACGTCATGTGGGAAGCTTGAAGCTCAACCTTACCATGCAGCATGGGAACGAGAGAAATTTCAGGGGCACAAGCGGAAAAGTGCTGATTTGGAGGAGAATCGTTTATATGACGCTATGGAGTTGGAATTCGAGGGGGTCAAGAAAATGCAGCACATCGAATTGAGTTTTCTTGAAGCCTTCTTGAGAAATGAGCTAGAAAAATACATCGTCAGCAAAAGAGAAAAAATCGAGGAGAGTGGTGAAGGTGCCGGGCCCAAAAAAGGGCATTTTGATAAGTCGGATTTGAATTTCCATAAAGAAATGTGCCACAAGCTGAAGGCTCTCGGGCCTCTGGAGGCCCGAATCTCAGCCGTGTTGGGTGGCATCAGCTGGCCTAGAAGCGTGCACGAGATTGGTCTCATGAGTGTGTTTGCTGCTCTGCCCACGGGTCTATTGCGGTCCGCTTTTGCAGTCTACTCGGATTTCGACGTGGATAATTGCAATGAGCCCCTCGAGTTTCTCGATATTCCAGATCAGCCCCAGGCCCCGCCTTTCCCTTTCCGGAGACCGTCCTTCCGCAGCAATCAGTGGTCAACCAGAGTTCAGCCCCCTGATTCCCTTGTTGGTCCAGTTATCCCTCCCCTTTTCTTGACTGCACTATATAGGCTATTGGTCGAAGAGCGTAAAAGCAAAAGAGAGCTTTACCCGGAAGAATCGGAAGCTTTCTCAACTCACGTTCAGTTCAAAAGTCAGTGCGAGAAGGTTATGGAGGCTGTCAGGGAGCACGTTGCTGAAAATCGGGAAGACGATTATGTGTCGCTTGCGGATGACATTGAGAGTATGGCGAGTTTAACACAAAAATCGAAGATGTTCTCTTTTTACAAGCCGTCTTCTTTTTCGGAAAGTACACCTTGTGTGGAAAAGTGGGAACCTGGGTCTAGAAGTTGTATATATTCAACCCATGTTTTTGGGAGAAGCGAATTTGTGGAGTCTGATATTGGTCCAGGAATGGTGGGGAAGGAGCTGTTTGATGCGGGCTGCCCGATTAGGTTGAAATTTGAGGATTTTAATACTGATTTCGGACCAAAGGAGTTGGAAACTTTGCGGAATTTGAAGAAGCAGGATATGGATTTCCAGAGAAGTTTTAAGCCATATCAAGAGTACATCAATAGGTGCTGATATGATTGCTTGCTGCTTTCACTTTTTCTGCTTTGAAGTGGAATTCGCGCTGCGTGTCCCTGCAGAACAATCGAATTGGTATTTTCATTTCTGAACTATGTTGATTTTTCTTTTCCACCTGAGAACTGTCAACATTGGCTTTAATCTCGATTCTCATTGTTCGTTTTCCTTGCAGACGTAAAGAGGCGTGTTGCCTTTGCAAAGTGCATGTTCTGATGGCGTGTCTCCTTTACTCTTGCTTTGTTTTTGGTAAGTTTTGTTTTTTTGACAAGCGTGGATGTTTGTTAAATTTTATAAATAGTTTGTGTAGCTTTTGGAATGTACAGACGTACCTTTGTAAGTAAGGATTTCAAATAGTCATATTTTATATATTTCATTAGTTAGACGAGTGGGTTTGACACTGGAGCTCAAATGAGCATTTGGTGTTTTGGATTCCTACATTTTTGTGAATTACTGTATGTTATGGCTTTAAAATTTGGGTAAAAGTAGCTTGGACAAGTTAATTCTCTGTCGTAAAAATTCAGAAACCAAAGTACCCATAAAAGTGCAGAGTATATAAGAATGTTTCTCAATGTTAGATTCTGTAGTTGGGATGCCGGTTTAGAATACGCTTAACTTGAAATTCTTTTTGTCCAATCAAAAGTCGGTACACTATAACATAGTTATTGATGCTTTGGACAAGCATGTTAGTAAGGTTTTAGACAAGCATGCACTCGATCAGCATATGGTTGGTTAATGTTAGAGTTCCAGATTCGGGAGGAAAGGATCACCATTAGTTGGTGAGCTTAGGTGAACCTTAGTAATGTTTCATTCCCAAACTAATTAGTGATTAGAAGAGTAGCCCAGTAGACATATAAACTAAATCCATTTACCAGACAACTTTATTCCAACAGTTAATTGTAATAATTCTCATTCGATGTGCATTCACCTCTTCCATCTATATCATGGTTTGATCTCAATTTATAATGTTTCTTCTCAACGCATGATCTTGCACTCTGTCACTTAATTTGGAATTTTCAGTGAGTAGTTCGGTCCAAGATAATCCACAAATATGCCTTTGAGAAGATCCATCTCCGGCATTCTCCTCTGGCCCTTTTTCTCTTTTTCCCCAAATATGTTTTTAGGTGTTTAGGGACAAAGGAGATACCGAGTTTGGCTGCCCCAATTAGATCATCGCAATTCGCAAGTCGATGGATTTTCTTAGTTTCAAGAATTCAGTTCTATACTTCCGATATTTTCTAATATCGTTCGTCGTGATGTTTATGAGGCAAAGTTTATTATTTTTGTTGATTCTGAAAGCTGTCTTTTTTCTACTGCAAAGACCTGTTGAGTTTTTATTTATAATAAATTGTGAATTATGATCTCGAATTTCCAGTCAAAGTTATTAATTGAATTTGAGATGATAATATTTGGACTGTAGATAGGGCAGAATAGAGCTGAGGAGGATCATGCCTCAAACCTTTCACACTGGGTCTGCTTTAAGTTTTTGACTGCCCATCATACAATTGGTGAAAAAAATAAGTGGGCCCATATTATTGGGTAAATTTTCATTAATGCACTACTCGTATGCAAAACCAGTGAGTTTATGCAAAACCAAGAATTTTTAGCATGTATTGGGTGTATGCCAGGTTTAACGGTGTGAAGTTGTACCTGAAATGTATGCTGTGGGATTGTATTTTCTCAAGTGTTGGTAGTTTCTGTTGCTCTTGTTTGTAAAGCAGTTTGTCATTGCTTTGGTTTTACTAAGTTAATTGTGAAACATGCAATGTGGATTATGGAGAAGAAGAATTATGGCCAGTAAATAGAGTAACTGGTAGTTAATATTGCACTGTTATTGGATTTTGTAGCTTGAATTAGCTACGAAAAGACATTTGCTTATTGTAATTAGTTTTGTGTGGGAGGGTCTTTTAATGTCTCTTTCCAGTTAGAGTTTTCCTTCATAGAAGTATGATCATATTTTGTTGAAAAAGTCTTATTCATCACTTTGCATATTCATAAGGACTGATGATGGTCGAGGGTGCATCATTGACGGGTTGGTCTATACTCTATAATATACACGTGGTGTAGGAATCAAGAACTGAACTGCCGGATGTTTTAGTCAAGACGTCAGAAACTTCATATTGAAAATATGATATACCTTCCTTTCTGTCTTTAATCTTTCACTACTTATGTTTGCAATAGGTGTGTGACATACTTTATCTTGTATTCTTCCTTTCCTTTTGCATGCTACTGTAGAATCTTGAAAATAGTCTTACTGGTACGTTTTGTTTATAGCATTGCAGAGTACTCGGTAGAGAACTCTCTTATCAAACCAACATATATGTCGACTTATGAGAGTGCAACAGAACTTCTCTCTCTATCTCAACTTCGAATTAAGCTTCTGCTTTTCGGCTTCAATGGCATCGGGAACAGGTCATATCTCCTGTTTGCATGAGGTCAAATTTAACTATTCTGGCCAAACTCTTATTTTTACTTTGTAGTTTTTAATTCACATGGTAGAATTTGGAAATTTTACAAACCACATCATTACTTCTCTACATGTCTTCAACCTGTCCGAGGATAGAATGGTTTCTAAATTGACTCGAGTTGGTTTTAGTGTACTGTTGTTCATGCTTCTTTTTGCAATTTTTGTTTGAACTCTTACATATGAGTAGCTGGACTGAGCAACTTTCTTTGCTTTGATGATTTTTGCAGGAGTGTTTGGTAATTTGTCTTAAGCCTCAGGAATGTTCTCAAAATTTAATAGGCAAGGTATTATAATTATTTATATTGTATTGTTTGTTTATCCTCGATGATATGATTAATATATATGATCTTTTTCCATTGATTGATTTGAAATAGGAAGATAGATTATTCCAAAAAACAGATGAAAGCAAACGGATTATCGTCCATGTTTATTTTGAATTGTCCCAAGCTAGTTTGTATAGGTTTTTATTTTTCTTAAACGAATATGTGATTTCTCTTTTAACTATATTAATAGAATCTGAATATTTAGTAGTTTCGTGCATATGTTTTTTTATATTATTGTCATGTGGTATTATTGTTTCGTCATTAAAATATCAGTGTTTAAGTGTTATTGAGACACTATTTATTACGTTGCTAAATTAAGGACACAAATTATTAAAATTGTATCTAATTTAAATACTAATTACCAACGCATGAATTTTGTGTTACAAAAATTCATAACAGAGACGCATTTAAGAGAGCATTAAAAAAAAAAAAAATACAACGTATATGTTTTTGTGCGTCAAAAATTGTAATAACAACGCTCTTAAAAAAGCGTCACTAATTTATGGATAGACGCAAACGTCTTGTGTCACGAAAATCTGCAGAAGTGACGCGCCAATAAAAGCATCACATATCGAAAGTTACGTACGCAGAAGTCTTGCGTCACGAAAAGTTTGGTGACATCAAATTTAGCAATGTAACTCGTGACACTTTTAAATGTGTCAGGTATTTTTTTTGTGACACTAATAAACGTCACTAAATGCATTTTTTGTAAGATAGTTTAATAAAAAAAGTATTAAACACACAAGGGAAAAACTGAATGTGCAATCAAAATAACCAACATTTCAGCAAAATTTACAAATGTCAGAAAACCAAAATTATGTAAACAGAACAAAAGGAGACAAACTGAATGTTGAAGGACGGACCGCTTCATGAATTGGGGCGACCCAAAGTGTTGGTTGGGCCTGAGGCACCTGATCCCCAATCGAAACTTGAACAGGTTGATGCCGAAATTAACATTGTTGTCGGCAGCCAATGCTTCTTAAGGACAAGAACATGGATGCGTAGCCTTGGCTCCAGGTTTCGGGGTCAAAGTCATTGGGGGTAGATCAAAATAGCCCAGCGGTGGCCTCTCGCCGTGAATTCACAGCTCTGGATGGCTTGGTCGGCGCCTAGTCGTTCTTTGTAATGGGAATAGTCCCTCAGCACCCACACGTGGGAACTCTTGTGCAGCTTTCCGACTTCCTCTTCCATCAGAGATGAGTAGCAAATTTTCGTCTTCGGGACAAAATATATTGGGCGAAGAATATTGTACGGCGTATCGTAATTTTTCTGGAATTAGAATTGATGAAGTGTATTATATTGAGAGAAGAAGAAGAAGAAGAAGAAGAAGCAACTAAAGAGAGAGAAAAGGGTGGAAACGGTAATAAATTAAATATAAAAAATTCTTAAGAAATACAAAATGAGGAGCTAGGTGGGTAGATATGGAATGTAGAATTAGCCATGCCATTTAAGTAATAAAATATTAATAAATGACGCTTGGTGTCTTTTAATCTTTTTTCAACATGGCCTTGCGGGTTGACAAAGGACATCGGCACAAAGCTGAACTTGGACTTTTGGTAATTTGAACCACTTCATTATTGACCCACCAATCACCTTGTCTCAGACTTGTATGGGTCAATCCAATCGAATTAATTTTATCTTAAATGTATTGAAGTTTTTTTTATTTTTTCTTTTGTCGGAATGATAGAAAGCTCACATTAAAACCAAATCAAAGGTTGAATACAAACAGGTGAAAACCGAATAAGCCGAGATGAGAGAGAACCATACGCAGGTGGCCTAGAATAACAACAAAGATAGAGAGAGTCTAAAGCAGTTAACTAACAACTGAACCAAAGACACTCTAGCCAAAGAAGAAAAATAACATAAAGGGAAATAAAGTTGAAGACTTCCACTGATCCAAGACCCTAGACCATCTTCAACCTTGTCTTCCTCTTTCCAACCTTGGACTTTATTCAACCTTGCGGGTTGACATAGGACCCCATCGGCACAGACCCTAGACCATCTTCAACCCAGCCTTTAAGAGCAGTATCAACAATTAGACGAGCCGGCCGCGAAACTCTTTCAAACATCCACAAGTTCCGAGATTTCCAAAAGCCACCATAAAATATAAGTAGAGAGTTGGATTCTTGCTTCAGAAATATCCCTGTTATCAAGCTCATAGATGTGCCATCACCAATCCTTCACAGAATCCTGACTCTTAGGCCTATCCCAATAAATAAGATATAATTTCCAAACTAGTGAGGCCTTGGGACCAAAAAAACAGGACATGCTCTACAGTTTCCTCAACTAACCCACAAACTTTACAAATATGATCAATATCTAAGCCTTTCCTCTTCAGATTCACTCCAATAGGTAAATTACCAGAAATGCATTTCCACACAAAATGTTTAATCTTTCCTTTGATCTTCAATTTCCATAGTCTGCTTCTAGCTTTTTGATCTCTGATAATAGCATCACTACTTTGAGCCCTGTCTAGTGTGAGTAGTTTCTGATGATTAAGGAAAGAATAGGTATTAGCAACAGAGAATTTATCCCTTTTTATCAAGTCTCCAGACTTATCTGTCCTCAACCTCAGGATTAAGAGTAGAAATTTTCTTAATTGCTGCACAGTCTTGCTCAGAGAAGATCTGATTCAGAAGTTGTACATTCCAGGATGTAAATTTAGTTAATTGATGATCCATATTTAATTAATACGAAATGCATATTTGTTATATTTTAAGTTAAATATATACATGATGCATATTTAGTTCATTCATAGTTAGTTCATTGATTATTCATATTTAGTTAATACAAAATGCATATTTAGTTCATCTATAGTGCATATTCATTATATTTAAATTAAATAATTACATGTGCATATTTAGTTCATTCAGGATGCATATTTAGTTCATCCATAATACATATTTATTATATTTAAATTAAATATACACTGATGCATATTTAGTTCAATCATGATGCATATTTAATTATTACAAAATGCATATTTAGTTCATCCATGGTGTATTTTTATTATATTTAAATTAAATATATAATGATGCATATTTAGTTCATTGATTATGGATATTTATTATATTTTTAAATTAAATATATAATGATGCATATTTAATTAATTCATTATGCATATTAGTTCATTGATGATGCATTTCGCTCATAGGAAATGCATATTTGTCGTATTTAAATTAAATATATAATGATGCATATTTAGTTCATTCATGATGCATATTTAGTTAATAGGAAATGAATATTTAGCTCATTCATGGTGCATATTTATTATATTTAAATTAAATATATAATGACGCATATTTAGTTAATTAATTAATAATGCATATTTAGTTCATTGATGATGCATATTTAGTTAATACGAAATGCATATCTGTTATATCTAAATTAAATATACAATGATGGGATTACATATACAATTCCTACCAAACACATATTTTGTTCATATTAAGTGCATAGTGCTGAATGCATATTTACTTCATACATAATGTATACTAAGGTCAACGGTCAACGCTGAAATTCAACGGGTCTCGCCGAAAATCAATATTAGAAGTCAATGGTCAACGCCAGAAATCAACGGTCAAGGTCAAATGGTCAAAATAATATTTAAATAATTAAAATAATAAAAATAAAAGATTATTATTTAAATAAAAAGTTAAATCTTGGTCATACATATTGCTACATATCTAGTGGCTAAGAATGAGTCACATCCGACATTTCCCCATTTGATACAATCCCTATATATATAGATTTGCATATCAAAGACCTGCCTCAAAATTATCTATTTTATTTAGTTCATCAAAGCCGCTAATTAAATAAAAATAATTATCTTGAATCTTAATGGCTGGTAAGAATAGTATTTGTCCCTAGCCCGTGCCCAGAGACTCAATCCCGAGATGTTTATCACATGCCACACACCACTTAACGTTATAATCCTATACAACACAGCGTGCGAATATTCGATAATTTGCATCCAAATAATAATTTAAAAGTTTCTATAAATATGTGAACATTTGAATCCCCGTTAATGATTCATCTTATCAATCGTGTTAGGATATTTTAATCCTTCGGCATGTGACGATGGGATTAATTTGAACAACTTTTTGGTGTTTTGGGTTTTGAAGGCCATGAAACCTTGTGTGTAGCAATTTTCCCAATGGCAACTGGAAAATGTTTGGCTGAATTTTTTTCTTGGATGCAAATTAATTTCACTCGACATAATTTACAGTTGTATTTCTTAGTCCATGCTGTTATGGAAAAGAAAAATGCTACATTATTAACCTAGTGTACAACTAGGTTGACAATACAAGTGAAAACATCCACTTGTGTATTTTTTTATTTTTATTTTTTTGAATGTTTTCACTTGTGTTGTCAACCTAGTTGTATACTAAATTGGCAATGTAGCATTACTCTATGGAAAAAGGGAGAAACAATAAATCTTATGGAGTCGAAGTGAGATGTATGTGGGACAAAAAATGCTAAGAAAATCCAATGATATTAAAAGTGCTAAAATAAACTAATAGAGACCAGAATTGAACAAAGGAAAAAAGATTTTGGGACTTCAAATTTATGGGATAAAAAAGACGAATGGGATTGTCAGTGTATATAATCTATATATATAAAATAAAAATTAACATTTACTAAAAATAGTAGCAAAAAAATAGTCAGAATTTAATGCAGCCTATAAATAGTAAATTTTATTATTTTTTTCTTTAAAAATCATACAGCATTAAATGTTACCTTAAATTTTGGGTTTTAATTCATTTTATTATTTAAAAAATTCGGCTAATATTTATTAAGTGTGTATGTTTTTATTTTTATTTTTTTTTTAGAAGCAACAAACAATATTAAAATCTCGGTCTCTATATTTATAAAATCTTAATTCAAAATATAACAAAAGTTTTAAAATCTCGGTCTTTATATTTGTGCCTTTTAAAAAAAAATTGAACGCTAAAAATATTCTTTAAATTGCATAATCAATCAATTAATTTTAATTTTTTAAAAATTACTATGCTTATTTTTTATAATATGCATAAAGTAAAAATAATTAATTCATCTTTAGATATATAATTTATAATCTTAATATACTATCATTTGGTGTAGACATTTATTATATAAAGCATAATATACTTTTATTCCATAAAATTAAATATATTTAACGAAAATAAAAAAATTTCTTCAGATCAGTCGGGTGATTGAATTACTTTTATGTGATATTTAAAATAGTCAAAAAACTTGACACAACTTGGTTGGTCCCAAGTGACTAAGTTATGTATCAGTTCGACCACACCAAATCGATTATTGAACCTAAATATAAATTTTATATTGAAAATATTTTATTACGTGAATGTGGTGTAGTCAAAACTTCAAATATGTATTAACAATACTTTTATGACAACATGTTTAGTGATTTATGAATATTTATATATTATTTTATGAATATTTATGTGAATTAAATAATATTTTATTATAATATTTATTAATGTATAGTAAATATAAGGTTTTCAAACAATCAAACTATTTTATTAAATCATTTGTGGTTTGTTTAGATTTTTTATTATTATATATATATATAGTATTTTTGTAATAAATTTAAATAAAATATGTTACTTAGATATCTAAACAATTTATAAATTCAAGTGTTTAAACAAATTGATAAATAATTTATAAATCTCTATTTTATTTAAATATATAGTTTTTTTCTAAATAATTTTAAATATAACAAAATTTATTTAGAAAATCATATCGATCCTACCAGTCCAATCGACTGGTGTTGACGGATTTGAGAGAAAATAATTTATTCGAGCAAACTAAACTGGTTATAAACCGGTTCTCAGTCCATCCGGTCGGACTGTGTGCAACACGGTTTAATTTAAAAACAATGGATAAATCATGATTAATGTTATTTTATATTTAATTTATAATACAATCTTAATATTGTTTTTCCGTGCATCGCACGGGCCACAGACTAGTATGAATGACAAATAGCAAAAGATATCAGTTTTTGGGTCCATTATTTTACTCTATCCTACTTTATATATATACTAGTACCTCCCGTGTAATGCAGATGCTTTTTAAAAAAAAAATTCTTAAATTTTAAAATTAATGAAAAAAAGGGTTTAAAATGTAAATATTTTTTACAAAAATTTATATTATTATATATTTTAGAATGACACTTGTTAGTACTTGTGCAACTTACTTGTGTTATAGTATTATAATAATTTTTTCTAACTTGTACCATATAACTAATTTAAATATAAATAAATTAACTAATAAATAATCTTATTTTTCTAATTGCTACTAATAAGTAATTTTGTTATTATTATAAATATAAATAAAAATTTATTTATCTTATACATACAATATGAATGCGAAATCGAATCTCAGCAAAAAATGATTAATTTGACATATTATATATGTAAAACTAACATGAAATACAAAAGTTATCAGCTTTTAAAATACATTTACAATTCAATTCTTATAATAGGAAATGATAATAAAATTCAATTAATTAATACATTTAAAATGACCACAAATAATAAATATATATATGGATAATCAGGATTCAATTATTTTTAAATAGGAAACAAACTAAAATCTATCCAAACCAAATAATGAAGCATAAAATTTTGCTACATAGGATCCTAAGACATGCGAGTCTGCCACTTAGGCTCAGCACAATTGAAAATTATATAAAGGGGATATATATGTATATATAAATTTATTCTAAAAATTTAATATCCAAAAATAAATCTACATTATAAATTATTTATTAATCAATGTTAAATAATGTAACCATAGACTTAAATTATTGCATAGACTTTGGAATCGAGCTACGGTCTTCTAAAAACAACTTTGCATATGACCAAACTCTTGCCATCTTTCAGGTTGCTAAAGCCTACAACCTTGATTTAAACTAATTATTGAAAAACCAAAACCATCTCCCAAGGCATTTGCCCACTAATTATATTTTCTCCTTTTTTTTATTAAAATTATTACTCATTTTTATTATCGTTACTTGTCGAAGCCGGGAGTGGTGCCCAAATTCCAACCAATTAATTGATTTATTCAGTAACAAAATCTTTGGAATTTGGTCCAAAGGGTCAACCATATCAGCCTCATTCTCCAGGCCTGATTTAATCCAGGTTAGCATTGGAACTATATATATATATATATCAATATTTATTTTCTTATCCTAATCCTAACTTACTTAAAAGTAAGGCCTTGGAAAAAAAAATAAAAATAAAAAAAAGGGCCAATATTTGGGTCGTGGTCACGTGCCATGTGGGGTGACACATCAAAATTCAATTCACGAAAATATGTATACTCATTATTAAGTTTGAGATGCTTTGGCAAATTGACAGCCAAACATTTGCAAGGTCATTTCCATATTTTATTTGCAATACAAAACTTTCTTTCATATCTTTACGCAATTTGATTTAAAAATATTCCAAAAAGATGATATATTGCTTCAAAAACGAATGAATAGCAATCCTCCTCATTCTAATTAATTTAAGCTGAATTGCGCACATTGATATATTATGCAAGGAAAGGTTAATTAAATTATTGACAGATGTCTTTAGTTTCATGTTAATGGTCAGTGT